AAGAAGAGAAGCATAATGGCAAATATACAAAAACACATTTATTTTTTATCCAGTTTCACTTAGAATTCTGATTTTCAATAACAGTAATTTGATCCTAACAGAGATGAATAAAACTGGTACATATGCCAAACCCTCAAACATTGCTCAGTATTAGCTAAAAACTGGGCTCTGTTTGGCTGAGTATCTTGCCTTGTGAAGATTTTCCTACCTACTTGTGTCATCACCACTCTGACAAAAAATAACTGTACATGGAAAGTCATCACATCAGAAATTCACCAAGCTTTATTTATTGATCCAATATGAGTTTACATATGTCCAATGCTTAGAAATAGCAAGATCGTCCTATTAAGATTGTTTTAAATCTAGTCAGTTTGAACTGAATAAAGGGGGAAACAGGCATCTCGCCCCTGTTATGTATTTTTGCTGTACACCATCCCCTCCTTGTCAATTATCAGTATTTATATATCAAGATCATTTTAAGGGGTAATAATAAAAAAATCATTTGGGCTTTTTGCATTTATTTCTCTGTAAGGACAAGATGGTTCCATAAATTCTACCTGCAAAATATATCACAAATCTGTCTTCTCTCCATCTCCACTGCCACCGCTCTAGGCCAAGACACCATAACCCTTCTCCTGGACAACTGTAACAAACTCTACTCTTGCCATCTTTCAATTGGCTCTTTGCTCACGAGCCATAGTACTCCTAAAATGTAAATTGGTTCATTTTACTCAGTTGGTCAAAATCTTCCAATAGCTTCATATTTTACCTGAAATAATATAAAAACTGAGCTCATTAACCACAGATCTTTTTCTACTCCGTAAAATGTGGTTTCTGACAATCTTTCAGACCTCACTTTCTGCAACTGTCCTCCTTGCTCAGTAAGTTCTGTTCCAGTCACACTGGACTCAGTTTTTCAAAAGTGTCAAGTTCCTTTCTCTTCAAAACCATTGCTTGGGCAGTTCCCAATACCCATAATGCACTTCTTCCCACTCTGTAAAACTAGCTCTTTTTTATCCCTGAGAATGAAGCTTAAATGTCTCCTCCACAGACAAGCCTTTCCAACTGTCCCATCTAAAATAGGATGTCTCTCTTATTGTTCTCTCTCTCAATGCATCTGTTGCTTCCTCCACAGAATTTCAAAAACCTTTATTGTTTTATTTCCTTACCCCAATTCTGTGAGGGCATAGAA